CCTTTCTTCATCTCGTACACGAAGATGCACTGCTGAACCGGTTATCCCGATATTATGCACGACACTCAGTTTCACATAATTATTGCACAACACGTAAAATTATACGGCCACTTGGTTTTCGTGCACGCCCGAGAAATGATTCCATGTAAATTGCGGCCGCACATGTCCGCTCAGCTGTAGTTGCGTGCTGTTGGCGTACGCAGTCTGGTAACAGCGTGCGAGAGCTAAGACGTTTTAATAAAAATCTTGTGTTTGCGTAGTAAATTAACAGAGAAAATGAAGTGTACTTTGCAGGAATATACGGATATGATTGTGGCATACGGACTAGTGGGAGAAAATTCTTATCGTGCGGCCGCAATTTACATGGAATCATTTCTCGGGCGTGCACGAAAACCAAGTGGCCGTACAATTTTACGTGTTGTGCAATAATTATGTGAAACTGAGTGTCGTGCATAATATCGGGATAACCGGTTCAGCAGTGCATCTTCGTGTACGAGATGAAGAAAGGATTCTTGAAGAATTTTATCATCGTATCACATTATCAACGTGTGCAATACATTTTATCGAGGGATTTTTAACCACGAATCAATTTTTGTAAAGGTACTATCCATTAATTTTTTACATTTACGATATATTCAGCGTATAGTAAATGGCATTTTGAATAATTTTTAAATTGAGAGTGGAATAGGCCTATGGGGGAAACCACTATAGAAAAGGCGCACCATGCTATCTACCGCAAGGTGGTGTGGAAATGAAAGCGCATCATTTTCTCGCCACGAAAAGGGGGGACGGGTCATTTTTCGGTGCGGTATTGCGATATATCGCAAACCACCATCATGTCTCGGAGAGCGACCCGCCCACCGCTTCGCCGCGCTCGTAGTATCGGATTACGGTGGGACGACTCTCGTCGCCGCGCGCTTTTACTCACGCAGATTGGCCGATCTTTTTTATTTAATATTTCGTTAATTATTGCGACAATCCCAAAACAATACAGGTCATTCCTTCTTAATTCGAGCCAATCTACTTATTTATTTCATTTAGGTCGAAAATCGACGGACACCCTGTATATACAGGATGTCCCATTTTAATCCTTCCAATCGAATATTTCGAAAACCAAGCTCGAAAGAGAAAAATGTTTCAGACAAAAGTTGTATGGTTTCAAGGGTGCCATAAGAGGGTACCATTGGTTTGACCCTGAAGAGTCATTTGAAGGTCATGCAAAGGTTACTTTGATTTTTTTAAATCGAACACCCTATATATTTTTGCATATTCTTGTAGCTCATCTCGAGAGCTTTCCAAAGCACTATAATAAAGTATTTCTTCATCGAGCACTTTTCAAGTTATGAGACTTGAAATAATTTCTTAATTTTACATAAACCATAAAATATCTAGTAAAATATTCATTTTTCGATTATCTTACCTTAATACTGTTATGTACAAAATAATGAGAGGAATCAATTGATGTAAAGAAAACATACAGTTGTTTTAAAAAAAAAATGTAATTGTTAATTGCAAATTACATATTTTTTCTTAAAAATAACTATGTTTTTTCTTTACACCAATTGATTTCTGTTATTATTTTGTACATAAAAGTATTAAGGTAAGATAATCGAAAAATGAATATTTTACTAGATATTTTATGGTTTATGTAAAATTAAGAAATTATTTCAAGTCTCATAACTTGAAAAGTGCTCGATGAAGAAATACTTTATTATAGTGCTTTGGAAAGCTCTCGAGATGAGCTACAAGAATATGCAAAAATATATAGGGTGTTCGATTTAAAAAAATCAAAGTAACCTTTGCATGATCTTCAAATGACTCTTCAGGGTCAAACCAATGGTACCCTCTTATGGCACCCTTGAAACCATACAACTTTTGTCTGAAACATTTTTCTCTTTCGGACTTGGTTTTCGGGATATTCGTCTGGATGGATTAAAATGGGACACCCTGTATATACAGGGTGTTCCGAATTTAAATGTCATAACTTCGGGAGCGTGTAGAGGATCGATAAACTAAAAGAAAAAGTGGTATAGAGATATGCTCGTTTTTACTTCGTTTTGGAGAAAATCGCAAAAAACATAAAACGTAGTTTTTATTTCTGTACTTATTTATTACTTTTTAATTCATATTTATTTGTTCGCGTTGTCACTTGCCTAATGTAAATATGTTCAAAATGTTGCCCTCTTGCAGCAATGACTCATCGTTCTGGCATTCATTGAAATCGTACACGGAAACAATAATATTCCGTTTTTTGGTAAAAGCTTTTTTGTTTGTTTATATTTCTGCCTTTCTCCTATAAATTCGTCAGTTACTCATCAGAAGCCATCGAGTTAATTACTTCTGTTACAATATGCCGCGTACATATTCTAACGTTGAATATGCTGATATGGTTTTCGTGTATGGTTTCTGCGACGGTAATGCTGTGGAGGCAGTGCAAGAGTATGCGCGCCGATTTCCAAACAGAAGAGTGCCGGATCGGCGAGTCATTACGATGACTTTTAATAGGCTGCGAGAGACCAGCTCATTTTCAATTCATCAAGATCCGGCAAGAGCAAATTTGCAAGAAAATCGTATTCTGCGCCTCTTTGATAACAACCTTGAGACCAGCATTCGGAGAGCATCAGCTGCATTACAAGACAACTCAAGAGAGCAATTACAAGACCGAATCGTGGCTGCAGTACACCACATATTACCAGATCAGTGTTTGGCTGCAACACGAGCTGTCCGTACTAGATGCAATGCTTGCATTGCTGCAGGAGGGCAACATTTTGAACAATATTTACGTTAGGCAAGTGGCAACGCGAACAAATAAATATGAATTAAAAAGTAATAAATAAGTACAGAAATAAAAACTACGTTTTATGTTTTTTGCGATTTTCTCCAAAACGAAGCAAAAATGAGCATATCTCTATACCACTTTTTCTTTTAGTTTATCGATCCTCTACACGCTCCCGAAGTTATGACATTTAAATTCGGGACACCCTGTATATATATATATATATATATATATATATATATATATATATATACACGGTGGGCCATTTTAATCGATGCACTCGAATATCTCGAAAACAGCACTCTTCAGAAAGAAATGTTTCAAACAAAAATTGTAGGGTGTGAAGGGGGACATAAGATGGTAGCATTGGTTTGACCTTGGAAAGTCATTTGAAGGTCACATAAAAGTCACCTTCAATTTCTTAAATTGAACCCACTATTTTTCATTACATATTCTTGTAGCTTATCTCGAGAGCTTTCCAAAACACTACAGACAAATGTTTTTTCATGAAGTACTTTTTGAGTTATAAGGCTTCAAAGTTTGCAGTACTTCGATATAAAATGCAAAATATCTCGTAAAGTATTTAGTTTTCGGTAGTCTTACCCTAATACTTTTATGCACAGGATAATGAGACAAAACTATTGGTGCAAAGAAAACGTATGATTGTTTATAACAAAAAGTGCATTGCAAATTACACATTTTTTATTATAAACAATCATACATTTTCTTTGCACCAATAGTTTTGTCTCATTATCCTGTGCATAAAAGTATTAGGGTAAGACTACCGAAAACTAAATATTTTACGAGATATTTTGCATTTTATATCGAAGTACTGCAAACTTTGAAGCCTTATAACTCAAAAAGTACTTAATGAAAAAACATTTGTCTGTAGTGTTTTGGAAAGCTCTCGAGATAAGCTACAAGAATATGTAATGAAAAATAGTGGGTTCAATTTAAGAAATTGAAGGTGACTTTTATGTGACCTTCAAATGACTTTCCAAGGTCAAACCAATGCTACCATCTTATGTCCCCCTTCACACCCTACAATTTTTGTTTGAAACATTTCTTTCTGAAGAGTGCTGTTTTCGAGATATTCGAGTGCATCGATTAAAATGGCCCACCGTGTATATGTATATATATATATATATATATATATATATATATATTTTTTTTTATTTCCATAAATACATACAGGGTGAGCCATTTTAATTTATCCACCCCAATAACTTTTTTATATTTGAATGTACAACAAAATGTTTCAAATAAAAGTTGCTTGACTTCGAAGAAGATGGATGGCAAAAATTTGACCTTGGATAGTCATTTGAAAGTCGCATAAAGGTTTACCTTTAATTTCTTAAATGAAACTCCCTATTTTTTATTCTTGTAGCTTATCTCGAGAACTTTCCAAAACGCTATAATTAAGTACCTTTTCATTAAGTACTTTTTGAGTTATAAGGCTTGAAATAATTTCTTAATTTTATATAAACCTTAAAATATCTAGTAAATCATTCATTTTTCGATTATCTTACCTTAATACAAATTTTTATATACAAAATAATGAGAGGAAATCAATTGGTATAAAGAAAACATACAGTTGTTTTTAAGAAAAAATATGGAATTGTTAATTGCAAATTATATATTTTTTCTTAGGAACAACTATATGTTTTCTTTACACCAATTGATTCCTCTCATTATTTTGTACATAAAAGTATGAAGGTAAGATAATCGAAAAATGAATGGTTTACTAGATATTTTATGTAAAATTAAGAAATTATTTCAAGCCTTATAACTCAAAAAGTACTTAATGAAAAGGTACTTAATTGTAGTGTTTTGGAAAGCTCTCGAGATAAGCTACAAGAATATGCAATGAAAAATAGGGGTTTCCATTTAAGAAATTGAAGGTAACCTTTATGCGACTTTCAAATGACTATCCAAGGTTAAATTTTTGCCACCCATCTTCTGTCCCCCTCGAAGTCAAGCAACTTTTATTTGAAACATTTTGTTGTACATTCAAATATAAAAAAGTTATTGGGGTGGATAAATTAAAATGGCTCACCCTGTATATTTCGAATAACATAATAATACATTTATCAAAAGAATAACACATATATTTCATAAACACTTGTATATTTATTTTAAGTATCTTAGAAACATTTATGTTATATTTATATTTTTATTGAGGAATTAAACATGTTTTAATAAGTTTTACTTTTTTTTCTTTTTATAAGTGTCCGCGTAGAATCTAATCTTTGTCTTCATATTACAGCTAATATTAATAGTATATATTAATTGTAAAAAGATTTCTAATAGTAATTCTGATAATAATTAGTAGATTATTAGTAGATAGATAGCATATTTTGCTTTCACTGTATAATTCATATCCCAAATCGATTCATATCCCTTGCGCATAAGTGTAAGTAGTTTAAAAATATAAATACGTAAGATAGAGAGAGATATGTCGGGCAATGAACGATCAAGAGACTATAGTTTCTCGTCTTCTCATCTTCACGTTCTACAAATTACGTATAGTGCAATAAACAAAAATGCAGTATAAGTTTGCTTTTCAAATAGACTTTTAAACATGCTTTATGAATCTGCTTATAAACGGTAGCGATTTTATTTTTTCAGTGACGTAGTCCAAGAAAAATCTTACCATTTTAACATTGTTGTAAATAAAACATATAATACACCGAAGTGAAATAAAAATATCGTCGTGATATGAAGAATGTACATCCTGAAATAAATAAGCTTCATAGAATACGATAACATAAAAATTTTTAACAAAAATATATTTTAAATATAAAATATATTTTAGGACTTTCATTTCCGCCGGTATAGCTGGTGTCACATGTAGCGAGAGAGAGTTTATTTAAGCGAAAAAATGGGTTGGAGAGTATTAGTTGGAAGAAAGAGAAGGTTTGGAGGAGGAAATGGAGACGAAGGAGCGTGTGAAGATGAAAAAGGCAAGGGAAGGTATAGGGGATAGAGGAAGAAAGATAAGAGAAAGTGCTATGTGGAGTCGGTTGGGCGTAGACTAGCGGTGTGTAGATAGGCGAACGCAGTGACGGAGCAGCGACGAGCGACATAGATTAGGTAGTGGAAGTAAAGAGGTAACGAGAGAGGATAGAGACAAAGAAATGTAGGAAGGTGGAAAAGATAAGAAGAGTAAGAGGAAGCCGGGGTGGCCATGCAAGGTAAAAGAGATATCAGATAGAAAGAGGAGTGCAAGTGTTAGTAGCATGAGAAGTATGGAAAAATTTGTGAAGAGGGAAAGAGAGGAGAGAAAAGAGAAAAGAAGAAGGAAGGAGGAAATAATCTTCAAGAGAAGTAAGTTGACAGAAAGATCGCCGGAAGAAAGAGGGAGTGAAGATTATGGCTGTGTTCCAAAATTCACTGCCAGTACTGAAAATCTATAGTGTACGTCACGTAAACTATAGATTTTCAGTACTGGCAGTGAATTTTGGAACACAGCCTATGTTTAGAGAATTGTTGTGAGGAAATGCGGGAGATGAGGAGGGAAATGAAGGAGCAGAAGAAAGAGATAAAAATGATAAGGGCAGAGATTCATGAAAGGGTGGACAGTTGGAAAAGGGAAAAAGAGGGGTTAAGAGAAATAAACGAGATAAAGAGGAGACTGGAAGGCATGCGCGTTTATATACGCTAATGATGCAAATGGGTTAATACACAAAGATTCCGCAAATTTTATAATTAAATGTTATATATCCACTTCTCTCTTCTGCTTATTGAAACATTTATCTTATTGTTTGTACATGTTTTGAAGATCTCTATAAAATACTTAGCAGATTTTATTCCTGATTTTATTATTTATTAATAAAAATACAAAATCAGTTTGCGATGCAGTAAGCAATGAGTGAGTTGAGATTATACAATATATAGTTAGGTAACAGAACACGAAAAAAGTTATCAATCCACAGCGCCAATACGCGATAATCCTGTGAACGCAAAGTCTGAGAAGCGCCAAATTGTAACAATTTCTAGTATGGTAATGATATTGTATGGTAATGATTTGATTGTACGAAAATATCGCGAAATTTAATAAATTTAGATAAAGAATACTCACATTTTTTGACGCCGACGGGCTTTCGGCAAAGTAGATAGATCTTCTTTCATACAGTATTGCCGCATGCCAAGGATTAAATGCTTAAAGTATTCCATTTCATCGACATTATAAATCATAGTTGGAAATATTTTTTTATCTAATGGTGTTATATCGTTGGACAAAGTAATTATATTTTTATTATAAAATATCCATTGCCGCGTCATGAAATATTGCAATACCTCGATACCGTCTAAAATTCGTTTCTGGATTCTGACCATACTGTTTGTAAGATTAACGAAAAAAGATAATAATTAAGGAAATTTATACAGTAACATATACAATATTTTGTAATTACATGTAAAAAATTACATGTAATTACATGTAAAAAAAGTAAGAAATATTAATAGATAAAAATCAATAAAAGTATATATAATGTCTAAAAATATTAAAACATACGAAACTTACAATCTCTTGTATCCAAGTATCAGCATCAGAAAATCAATCAAATATGCGGGTATGATTTGGAAGAGTAAGACGATAATATTATGCAGAATTTTATTGCTATGTACGTCGCCAGCTGGATACCAAATTTGTCTCTCGAAAGGATATTCGTAAATAAATTGTTTATACTTCTTCAATATCTCCCTCCATGTGATACGCAAAGTATTGATTTGCGATGTCATATTGACTACGAGTATACCTTCTGAACTATACATGGCAAATCAAATAGAAAAAAATTAATATTTTTTAAATTAATATTTCATTTAAGTGAAAGATAGTTGTGCAAGTATATAATAGTTAAAAAATACTATCGATATTAAAAAACATATGAAAAACTTTTGAGCATTTTTCTCTATTGCATAATATTAATAAATTTAGAAATTGTAGTAAATTGTAATAAATTGTAGTAAATTGTAGTAAATTGTAGTAAATTGTAGTAAATTCATATTTTTAATAAATTACGACAATAAATTTAAGCAAAATTTAAAATTTAGAAAAAAATATGCGATACTTTAACAGTTTTTGTGATATTTTAATTTGGGATACTTTAACAATTTAAAATATTATATAATCTTGATATCAAAAATATTTTAACAAGCACTAGGGACAGAAAAACTGTCCATATTACAAGCATAATATTACATGATAAATTCCATTTTAATTTAAATTGTGAAATATTTTACTGTTGCAGAAGGAAAGTTTGAGCAAAAGAAGAAATTTAAAAGAAAGAAAATAGAAATTTACTTTTTCAGGCTAGTGGCAATTTTGTATGCAATTATGATTAAATCGTTAATTGCAAGATCTACTGGTATAATTTCGACATTATAATTGCCTTCGCAATGCACCGATCTGATAATACCCTTGCCTCCACCGACAAGTATTCCTATAGGTCCATTTAAATTGTCGACCCATCCTGGTAACGGCTCCTTGTACGAAGGGAACACTGCGACGGGATTCATTAATTTTTATATTCTTTTTTGTCTATACACAGTCGCCGAGATATTATATTTTATAATCTTTTATAATTAATAAGGTATATCAATAATTACCAATCGATGGTCTAGCAATGCAACAAGGTATATCAGGAAATTCATTGGCTACCAATTTTTCAGCCAGATGTTTCGAATATGTATAAGTATTTGGGTGCGGATGTATTAATCTAAAAGAGTTGCAAAGATAAACACAATAAAATCTCATATATTTTCTTATGCACAATTAAGAGAAAGAAATAAACTTAATTTAATTAAATTAATTTAATCATCATTTAATTAAACATTATAAACATTAACATTTAATCATCATTTAATTAAACATTATAAACATTAGTTATAAAGATCATTACATATTACTAATATTGTTTATTAATATTCTTTCATGAATATAGTTACTTTATTTTATTAATTTATATAATTATTTACAATAAGTTTTAAATATTTAAATATTTTAAATTTTTTAATATTTTAAGTAATTGAAAAAAATTATAATTTGAAAAATATATTATTAATGACTAAATAAAATATGTTGCGCGAGCTACGCTTGTGCGAGCTACGCTTATGCTGAATGTTGTTAATTATTAAAATCGATTTTAAAATGTTGTTAATTATTAAAACCAATTTTTATTTACTTTGGTGTAATAAGATCGATAGTATCTTCATCTAAGCATTGAACGAGTCTCATGATATCCTCAGGGTCATTAGAGGTGTCATATATACACTCGCTTACTTCCTTTTGATCAACGTGACAGAAGGCTGTGCTTAGATGTATGAAAGCTTGCAGATGCTTCATTTCTTTTCCCAAGTTTAGTACCCTTTTTGAACCTTTCTTGAAAATTAAGTCAAAATCTCATGTCTTATGAATTATTAAGAATATTATAATATGCAAAATTAAGTCTACACGGTAAAAAACATTTTGTATTTCTAAAATTTCCTCGTGAAAAATTTTTGTGTTAAATTTTTAACATACTCTTATGTTAATATAACATATTATCATTGCGTTATTTTGACATTGCTGCGTTGAGTTAATTTTCACCGTTTCTAAGAGTTAAAATAACACAATTAATATGTAAATGCATGAATTTTTGATAAAATATGTTATATGTTAAAATGAACAGATAAGTTGTGTTATTTTTCTCTCTATAACAGTTTTCATATGTTAGATCGACATATCTTTTCTGTTATTTATTATAAAAATGTAAGAATAACATTTTCTTTTAATTAAATTTAACATTATAAATATGTTAATTTAACATAAACTTTATTTCCAGATAAATTTTAAGTGTTACACTTTTGTGTTAATTTTTAAACATATTGCTTGTGTTATTTATTTACATACTTGCCTTAAATTAACATTAAAATTAAAGTGGATAAATTGGGACATGTGAAATATGTTAAATTTAACACAAAATTTTTCACTGTGTAGAAAATATATTATGTCTCATTATTTATAACGGATCTCGCACAAATCTTATGGAAAAGTGATTTCAGTGAAATTGTGTAAAAGTTGTCTTAATTTATGACTTTCTGATCAAAAATCTCAATGTGCACGATTTGTAAAAATGGACAGATTTTTCATTATAGATGTTCAAAATGGACAATTAGATTCACGTACGCTGAAGATGTCACAATATTATGTATGTGTGTATATACAGGGTATCTTGTTTTAATTGTGCACCCGATTAACATCGCAGAAAATGGTAGAATGAAAAAATGTTTTAGATAAGATGTTTTAGAAAGTTGTAAAGCTTGGAAAGGGACATCTGATAGCGACATTGGTTTGACATTGAGTGAATGTGGTAAGCTCTTATGGATTTCAACTTTGTTTTTTTAAATGGAACTCACAATTTTATCGTACATTCTTATAATTTATTGCAATAGTTTTTCAAAACATTATAATAAAGAATTTTTTTGTTAAGTATTTTTTGAGTCATGAGGCTTGAATTAATTTCTTAATTTTATACACAATAAAATATTTTGTAAAATATTCATTTTTCGATGATGTTATCTCAATATTTTTATGCGTAAAATAATGAGAGAAATTTATTGGTGTAAAGAAAACACATAGTTGTTTTTAAGAAAAATATATAGTTTGAAATTAATGGTTATATGTTTTATGGTTTATGTGAAATTAAGAAATTATTCCAAACCTCATAACTCGAAAAGTACTTAGCAAAAAAATACTTTATACTATGCTTTACACACACACACACGCGCGCGCGCGCGCGCGCGCACGCAGAGAGAGAGAGAGAGAGAGAGAGAGAGAGAGAGAGAGAGAGAGAGAGAGAGAGAGAGAGAGAGATTCATGCATATACGCGAATATAGTGTTACGGCCCTGAAGTCCGTGTTCATCGCCACGGCGCCGATTTACGAGAAGAAGCGCGTTGTCAAGAGGTTGTTGACAGCAGCGCTTGTCATCTGAGTTCGGTTCCAGCTGTCAATCTGCGCGGACGCGTTTGTGTATCGAGCCGAGCCGATTGCTGTTAAAGCGTTAAAGCGTTCTGTGATTACGTTGTAGTGTTCTGTGTTGTGATGTTTTACATTAAAGAGTTCCGAGTTCCTTTTAGAAGTGTCTATTCATTTCGCGCGATTCGCGAGCGGCCGATCTCTCCGCGCGTGTCTTCGATATTAATCGAAGTCCTTGCCGCGGGCGTAACAATATCAATATATTTCCATATGTAAAATTGAATACATCTTCAGCGAATCTGTTCATTTTGAACATCTGTAACGAAAAATCATTTTTAAAGATCGCTGCTCATTGGAACTTTTGATCACGTAGTCATAAATTAAAACATATCCAACTTTTAGACAATTTCACTGAGACCACACTTTCATAAGATTTGTGCGGAGTCCTTTGATTTTTATGTTGCTTTAATATAAGGTTTTCTAAAAATAAATATCTTTATCTATATTTTATATAAAAAATCTATTGCGTGTAGTTTAAAAACAATTACACTGTAATCAAGAACTTCGCAATATGTAATGTAATAATGTAAATAATTAACAACACGTTATAGAAAATATAAATTTAATTGTTTAAATTAACTAAATTGGTAATTAACTTAAATTGACTTAAATTAGATTTAAATTTCTTTATGGAAGTCAATATCTTACCAAATTCATTTCGACAGCATCTTTCAATTTTGCATTCATTCGAAGACTCGCGGCGCAATGAAATACTATGTTCACTTCACTTATAAGATGCTCACGTTCTTTAACAGTAAGACCCAAGTTATTTAAACATATGTCACCATTAAACGGTATTACTTTCTTCAAAACTTGAGGCTTTTCAGTTCGTATTCTTTGAAACATCTATATAAAAATATCAGTTCTATTTGCTAATCTCGTGCATATATTACCATTCATTGTTTAAAAACATTTTAGTTTGAATAACCTTAATTAATTAAATCTATTTATATTTAAAGTTTAATAATAAATTTTCGTAATATTTTTATTTGTACCTTTGATTCACATCATATGTCAAATAATAGGATAATAACGTTAAGTTTTTGAAATCTTATAACATTTTGAAGTACTATTAAATTAATTTAACAAATTATAAACATAATTTATATTTAAAACATAATTTATATGTATATAATTAACGATGATAAAAAATTCCAAACGAGAAAGTGAGAGAAAGAGAGAAAGAAACACATTTCAGTTAGCATATATTCGTTCCAAAAATATTTCACAAATGTTTCTTCGAAAAAAACATTTTATAACCGACTCTTGAAAACATTTCTAATTGATTGTCCACTTGAAAAATGTTAAGAGATATGTTTTTTCTGTTAAAAAATGTTTAAAAAGCGTTTAAAATACGTTTTTCTCTTTTACTTTTATTTCTTTTATTTCTTAAACGTTTGTTTTCTTATGGAATTAATAAAATAATGCATTTATACATACTCTTTAAAAGTGAATCAGTATATTATCAGTGAAAACAGTAAATAGAGTCATTGATGCAGCAGTTATAAGTTATTATAGCACTGTAAATTAATAATATTTCACCAAAGGTATCAGTAATATTGTTTCAATCAATATTATTAGATTATAATTTATCTTCGCATAAAATTAAAAATTTTATTTGTATTTACATGCATATATTAAACATGCATCTTAAATAGATAATGATTTATTTTACTTAAATATATAATAAACGGATCATTTTTGTTTATTGGCCTGACATTTATTTGTCCGATTTATAAAATCGATTTAATATCTGAAGTTCCTCTATTCAGATTGTATCGGATATCAAATCGAAGTAATACTTTTAATTTTATCTATCTAGCCCTTTGCAAGTTTTATATAATTCTCATGATTAAAATTTAAGTACGATAAAAATTTCAAGTTAACCTTAAAATAACTATTAAATTAAACCCCTAGGTCAAAGTCAAGATCACCATCAAGTGCCTTATTTTGAGTCATACAACTTTTGTTCAAAACATTTTTTTCTAAAATGCTTTATTTTCGAAATATTTGGCTGTTCCGAAACTTTTGGGACACTCTGTATATACATATGTGTATATACATGTGTGTATGTGCGCGCGAGCATGTGTGTGTTTATATGTATTGTATATAATTATTTTATATATATATATATATATATATATATATATATATATATATACACGGTGGGCCATTTTAATCGATGCACCTGAATATCTCCGTTGGTAAGCCGAATACAAAAAAATTGTTCAGACAAAAGTTGTATGGCTTGAAGGGGGACATAAGATGGTACCATTAGTTTGACCTCGAAGAGTTATTTGAAGGTCGCATGAAGGTCACCTTCAATTTCTTAAATGGAACCTACATTTTCTCTTTACATATTCTTGTAGCTTATCTTGAGAGCTTTCCAAAACACTATAATTGAGTACCTTTTCGTTAAGTACTTTTTGAGTTATAAGGCTTGAAATCATTTCTTAATTTTACATAAATCATAAAATATCTAGTAAAATATTCATTTTTCGATTATCCTACCTTAATACTTTTATGTACAAAATAATGAGAGGAATCAATTGCTATAAAGAAAACATACAGTTGTTTTTGAAAAAAAATATGGAATTGTTAATTGCAAATTACATATTTTTTCTTAGAAACAACTATGTGTTTTCTTTACACCAATTGATTCCTCTCATTATTTTGTACATAAAAGTATTAAGGTAGGATAATCGAAAAATGAATATTTTACTAGATATTTTATGGTTTATGTAAAATTAAGAAATAATTTCAAGCCTTATAACTCAAAAACTTAACGAAAAGGTACTTAATTATAGTGTTTTGGAAAGCTCTCGAGATAAGCTACAAGAATATGTAAAGAGAAAATGTAGGTTCCATTTAAGAAATTGAAGGTGACCTTCATGTGACCTTCAAATAACTCTTCGAGGTCAAACTAATGGTACCATCTTATGTCCCCCTTCAAGCCATACAACTTTTGTCTGAACAATTTTTTTGTATTCGGCTTACCAACGGAGATATTCAGGTGCATCGATTAAAATGGCTCACCGTGTATATATATTTACGTATAATTTTATGTGTGTACGTATATATATATATATATGTATATATATATACGTATATATATACATAAATATATATACATATATACATATATATATATATATATACATATATATATACATATATATATATATATATATATATATATATATATATATATATACGTACACACATGAAATTATACGTAAATATATATATATATATATATATATATATATATAAAATAATTATATACAATACATATAAACACACACATGCTCGCGCGCACATACACACATGTATGTATGTATATATATATATATATATATATATATATATATATATATTTACGTATAATTTTATGTGTGTACGTATGATTTGAAATTAATTTAAAATTAATTTTAAAAATTAATTCTTATTTTGTCTATAGAAATGTGGAAAATACGTTTCCTTAATTATAATTTTGAAAATGTTTCTATAAAAACGTTTTTTATTAATGCTTTACGATTAAGAAACATTGAATACGTTTAAGAAACATATAATAAAACGAACATGCTATCTGGGAACAAAATTGTGTGTGTATAATACATTTTATTCTAAAAACAAATTTTATATTATTTTTAAAAGTTATTAAAAATGTACTTAGAAAAGTTAAAATGTCGCTAAATAGAAAAATTCTTATAAGAGACGTTATTTGGTCATTTTTACTCTTAAAGTATTCTTTATATTATACTATTATATTATCTTATTAGCTAATAAGTCAATGAAGTTGATATAGCTTTCTTAATTACAAATCTTGATAAGAATAAGAATCAATTTATAATTAACAATTTAATATAAAAATTATTAATTTGTATCAAACAAAAAAATTTAATAAAATCTAATTGGAAAATACAAATGTACAAATGTACATGTGATGTGATTCTTATAAGAATATGTCAGAATATATGTATAGCAACATTATCCTGTGAAAAATTATCTTGATATTAAGGATACAATAAAGATAATATAAGAATAATATAATTCACACAATATCTTACTGGTAATTTGAATATATTTTCAAGTCGGTCATCGCAACTGCAACCTTTCTTGGCTCGCATTAAGATATAGATTTTGTTGAGATCAGAACAGCTGTATAGCAACTTTTCTATAAGGACCTTGCCCATGAAACCAGAAGCACCAGTAATGAAGATCGTCTTGTCTTTGTAGAAAGATTGAATCTTAGATTTTGATTCATTCATAGCTAAAATTTACCGTATACTGCGAAATTTATGATCACGACAGAAAAATAGACAAAAAAAGAGGAAATACACTTTACTACGCGGTAAAACACAGGAAACTATACAAATTCGCTTTGCAGTATAATATTTATAGTGCTTATATTGTTATGCAATTACCCCACTTAGCGCATATTCGTTTTAAAAACGTTTTATAAATTTTTCGTTTTAAAAACGTTTTATAAATTTTTCGTTTTAAAAACGTTTTATAAATTTTTTCAATTCGTTTTAAAAATGTTTCTTTGAAGCGTTTCATAAAACGTTTTTAATTGGTTAAAATGTCCAATTAAAAAACGATAAGAGATACGTTACTTTTCTGATAAAAAAAAAACGTTTAAAAAACATTTAAAATACGTTTAAAATACGGTTTTTTTACGTTAAGAGTTTGTTATACGTTCATTATACGTTTATAATACATTTTTTTAACGTTAAACGTATAATACATTTTTTTAACGTTAAACATTTGTTTTTTTATGGAATTAATAAAACAATGCATTCATACACACTCTAAATTTTAAAACGAGAAAGAGAGAGAGGGCGAGAGAGAGGAATACATCCCAGTTAGCACATATTCGTTTCAAAAATAATATTTCTTTGAAATATTTCATAACCGACTCTTGAAAACTTCTTTCTAATTGGTTAAAATATCCACTTGAAAAGATAAGAGATATGTTTCTTTCTGATAAAAAAACGTTAAAAAACGTTTAAAATACGTTTTTTTACGTTAAACATTAGTTATTCGTTATATGTTTAAAATTTTTTAACGTTAAACATTTGTTTTCTCATGGAATTAATAAAACAATGCATTCATACACACTCTTTAAAAGTGAATCAATATATTATCAATAAAAACAGTAAATAGAGCACTGATACAGCAGTTACAAGTTGTTATTAACACTGCAAATCAGTAATGTTTCACTGAAAGAATTAGTAATATTGATTGTTTTAATCAGTAACATTAGATTATAATTTACCTACCTCGTGTAAAATTAAAAATTTTATTTATATTTACGTTCGTTTTATGTACATTTCTTAAACGTATTCAATATTTTTTAATCATTAAGTATTAATAAAAAACGTTTCTATTGTATAAAAACGTTTTCAAAACCATTTAAGGAAATGTATTTTTCACGTTTCTATAAACAAAATAAAAACTATTTTAAAATTAATTTGAAATTAACTTTTAATTATATACACGTATATACATACATATACATACATATATATACATATATATACAGGGTGTCCCAAAAGTTCCGACCGGATATTTCATAAACTATGCATTTTAGAAAGAAATGTTTCAGACAAAAGTTGTATGGCTTGAAGAGAGCCATCAGATAGTGGCAATGATTTGACTTTGGAGAGTCATTTGAAGGTGACGTAAAGGTCACCTTCAATTTCTTAAATGGAATACTCTATATATTTTTACACATTCTTGTAGCTTATCTCGAAAGCTTTTCAAAACACTATAAATAAAAGTTTTTTCATCAGGCACTTTTCGAATTATAAGGCTTGAAATCATTTCTTAATTTTGCATAAACCATAAAATATCTAGTAAAATATTCATTTTTCGATTATCTTACCTTAATACTTTTATGTACAAAATAATGAGAGGAATCAATTGGTGTAAAGAAAACACATAGTTGTTTTTAAGAAAAAAATATGTAATTTGCAATTAACAATTACATATTTTTTTTTAAAACAATAAATTCTTTTAATACAATATCACTGATTTAGAGTGCTGTACTTATAACTGCTGTAATCAGTGAATAATCATTTACTGTTTTTTAGTGATAATGCACTGATTCACTTTTAGACAATGCTTTATTCGACAACACTATTAAATATATTATTATGCTAAGAAAAAGACGTCAAAATATAGTACATTTTATGACATCAAAATGAGATACATGTCATGACGTCAAGAATCTGTGATATTAGACCGTCACTTTTACGTCATAAAAATGTCAATTCGTGACGTCAAGAATAGTCAGTGAATGATCAATTTGAAACGTCAAAATGACGTGTGCTTGCTACCTGGGGATTTTAAGCCTCATAACTCGAAAAGTATTCAATGAAAAAATACTTTATTATAGTGTTTTGGAAAGTTCTTGAGATGAGCAAGAATATGTAAAAAAGGGAGTTTTATTTAAAAAAACATCGACGATCTTGATCTGACCTTCAATAGGTTACTTAAGGTTAATAAGTTATTTAATGTTTGTCATCTGTCCCCCTTCGAGCCAAACAACTTTTGTTCGAAATATTTTTCCGTATCTTCCATATTTTCGAGATATTTTCCCTGGGGTAATTAAAATGGGACACCCTCTGTGTGTGTGTGTGTGTGTGTGTGTGTGTGTGTGTGTATATACATATCTTAAAATTTAAAGTAACTGTGATGAAATAATAAACTTTAAATGTTAAGATTGACAGAGGCACTTTCAGAAAAAACGTTTGATACAAAATTTCTTATTTTTTCACGTACAATTCGAATCTGTAATAAAAAGTACCACATTCCTCTAAAGAAAATTCAACTTCCGATTTGGATGGAGTATTTCCGATCGGAATCAAAAGTTGAATATATCACCATTTGATAGAGCGTACCCGATTTATTTAAAAATTGTTCGCGATTTTTGATAAAAGCCATTTATTTTCATTTTTTGATACGGTTCGAAGAAACATTTGAAACGAATGTGCTACATGGGGAAAATCTTTGCGCAAATAAGAATCATGCTAAGAGAAAATTAACGATAGATCGATTATTAGTATTTAAACGATTATAATTATTGTAATTTGACTTGCACATTTATCGAGTACTAAAGTTTTTTAATATCGATTCGTATACAAATATACATATTATAAATATACATATACAAATAAAACAAATATACATGTATACATATTACTTATTAAAGTACAGTTACTTTGTTATTAAAAAAATTATGAAAAAGATTATTTAAGATCAGTTGTCAGGTCATTTTCATGAAATTTTAAGAATTCATTTGCACTTATATAACTGTGTAATATCGCGCGAGTTATCCTTGAGAATATATGTTGCGATTATTTTTTACTGAGAAAATTGTAAAAGATTACAATAAATGCATTCGAGGTTCGAGAAATTGTTATTTAATTTATAACTTAGCAGTAAATTTTTTTGAAGCCAATAAAAAGATCACGAATATCTGGAATAATTATAATACATTTATCAAAAAGACCATATAAAAAGATTTTGCAATACCTGTAGATGTTCCAATATATATCATATATTTGAATATGTACAAATTATTTATGAATTACTTATGTAAGAGATTTTGAAATTGTAATTTTAATAAAGGCTGAATTAATTTTAAAATTGACTGAAACGAACAAAGTTTTTTAATGCAGTATCCATTTCAAAAAAATATAAACATAAATAATGTTAATAGCAAACATGTAAATAATTTTTGCCACAAACTTATGAATAACATAAAGTTGCATGCTATTTTTTAAATGAAATTAAAAGCCACGAATTACATAATTTATATTTTTTCTTAATCATATTTATTTTGTAGTAATATGTATGTCAATGTATATTAAATATTAAAAGTTTAAATTTGAAGCAATTTTCATGATTAGCGATGATGTTTCGGCGATTATACCTGCCACTTGTTTGCATTATTAGATTTCAAGATTGTGATAATAAAAAAAAGCGGAAAATTTGATAATACAGTGTTTGATTAACTTGAGTTAAAATAAAATTATATTCAAATATTTAACGAACGATCGTAAAATCGAGCAATCGTTACGATGAGCGTGAAATATTTACGCTCATTTGCCGGTAATTAATCGGCAAAAGAAGGAGTGTTTATCTCCTTTTTCAATCTCTGATTAGAGATCGAGCGAGAAAGTGGTCAGGATCAACGAAAGGTAAGTTCAACTGGCCTGAAGAAAAGATTTACGTACAATAGTACGTAATGTCGGACATTTATTCACGCGGTTAGGGCATGCGATTAGAGAATGTAATTAGGGCACGTAATTTAAAATATATGTGATTAGAGATAGGTCGAATAATTTCACTTAATCGATAAATAGGATTGTTAGGGCTATCAGGTGATTATTAAGATTTTTTAATTTTGCTTTCAAGAAGTAGAGGATTGTTAGGATTATTATATGATTAATTTAGGTGATTAATATATTATGTATCTTTTAAAGAATCAGGAAATGTAAGTTTAAATAATATTAGGGAAAGCAGATTAATAAATATTTCAATAATTATAATTAAAAAATAAAAAATAAAAAATAAAATATATATATATATGTATATAAAAATTTAAAAAAAATTAAAAAAAAGAAAAAAAAGAAAAAAGATTTTCCATTATATGTTTACCTCCACGCGGTGAAAATCGGGCAACGTCAAATAAATTGGCGGCAAAAGAACGTATGAAATGACAACACGCATTATCTGTACATATATACACATATATATTTATATTTTCTTTTACATTGACGAAAATTCTCGTATACGTATGATAAATAAGTGTACACGTCTATAAACATGCCCCACAAGCTTTATTTAGAGCTATTTTTAAATATATTTACTTGTTTTTACGTTTAATGTTACTAATTTTGATTTTCAAGGTCAAAAAGTCGAAAATTTAAAGTTATTTATATTATACAAGATTGAGCAAGATACACATCGAAAAATCGAAGAAAAATGCATTTTTCATGATTTTTTCAACTTTGACCGCCATCTTGAGTCCGCCATCTTGAATTTTTGAAATTACGCTACAGGGTTTTTTAGCATAGATACACATGACACTCTTAAGCGTGATTGCGATCCTTTCAAAGATCTTTTTCGAGCTCAAAACATGAAATATCTGACAATAAGTTACTCTCAACTGTCCGACTCGCGTATATATAGATACACGGAGTGCCACGTAATGCTTCGCATGAACTTGGCGCGAGACATTACCATGTCTCTTGATTTTTATTGAGGAATTAAAAATGTTTTAGTAAGATTTATTTTTTTTTCTTTTTAGAAGTGTCCGCGATGTAGAATCTAATCT